ATCCCTTTACATCTTTCCTTGTCTACTCTGCTCTGACCCCCAGTAAAGGCACTTGCCCACGGGTTTTCACTTCCTCTAAGCTCCCCACCTGCTTGGCTGAGCATGCTCCCTTGGCATTCAAACCTTATATGCAGCCCCCATGTGGCATGTAATGCCTCCCTTTTCTAAGACAAATGAGTATAATAAATCCTTTAATTTTATATGCCTCTCTCGAATTTCCATGACTAAATTGGAACAATCTTTAAAGATTCCACAAAGGGGACTTACAACACATCGCAATGTTTACAACACAGTGTTTTTTTAAGGAATTTGTCCATTTCATCTGAGTCGTCAAAATCACTGGCATAGTTATTTATAGCATTCCCTTAGTATCCTTTTATTATCTGTAGAATCTATAGTGATGTCACCACTCTCAATCCTAACAGTTGTGCCTTCTCTCACTCTCTTTCTCTTTAGTCAGGCTAGTGGTTTATAAATTTTATTGGTTTTATTGATTTCTTCTCTTACTTTTGTTTTTTATTTCAATTTATATTCTGGTCTTATTTTCCCTTTTCTACCTATTTTAGTTTCATTTTCTCTTCTTTTTCTAGTTCTGTAAGGTAAGGGTGGATTTGAGATTTTTCTTCTTTACTGATAGCAGCATTTTGATGCTATAAATTTTCCTCTACATATTGCTTTAGCTGCATCCCACAAATATTATATTGTTTTGTTTTCATTACCTTTCAATTGAAAGTACATTCATTCCCATTTTGACTTTTTTTCTTTGACCCATGGCTCATTTACATGTGTTATATAATTTTCAAACATTTGAGATTTTTCTAGACATCTTTGTTATAGATTTATAATTTAATTCCACTGTGGCCAGGGGATATACTTTATTATCGGAGTCATCTTAAAAATATTGAGCCTTGTTTTATGACATAAAATATGGCCAGCCTTAGTAATTGTTTCATTTGTACTAAAAAAAAAAAAATGTGTTTTCTGCTGTTATTGGTGTGTCCTATAAATGTCAATTAGGTGAGGTTGGTTAATATTGTTGTTCAAGTCTTCTATATCGTTACTGACTGTATGTCAACATGACCCATTGGTCAAAGGAAGCATCTAGATCATTAACTCTGCTTTACAGCATCTAACAAGCCCTGGAGCAAGAAGCAAGAGCCATCGGTGTAGGCCCAAGGGTTCTGTCAGCTTCAAAATGTATCTATCTCAATTATGTATATTTAGGGAGAGTAGAAATAGAGTGGGACCAGACCCATTTTACCTTCTGTGAGATCAACTTTAGCCAGTACTCCATTTATCACTGAACCTCCCTGTTCTAACCAGTGAACCACAGTGGTCTTTTGGGTCTTCTGGGATCCATGTCAGCTCAGGCACTGTATCCAATGGTCCTTGGTTGAAAAAATCTTACTATTCCTTTTTATCCATTGCATAGTTACCCTGGTAAATGATGGTACATGACTTCCCCTTTGAGAAGGGATTTAGGATGTTTACCAAATATATTTGATGATCCTTCCTCAAGGGATCTGGGCCTTCCCTTCCACCATGAGCTTTAAGTCTGGAAACTGGATGGGGAACTATGGTTTTTCATTACAAACATTAATGTCAGCCTTCTCCTTGCCAGTTCTCAATTTTCTTTTCTGAGGGGTGAGAGGAGTCAGTTACACAAGTCAAATAACATCCTAATCAGCTGTCCTTCAATCTTGCCCCTTGGAACATTATGAACTTTACCTTGTTCACAGATTCATGCCTGGGTACCCATTAAGTTAATTATGTCCATTGGGCCTCTGACAGTTAAGTTCCACAACTTGGTCTTCAAAATTTCGGCATCCCATCCTGTATCTACAGGTATTGATCGACTTACGACCTATGCAACTTACGACCATTCGACTTTACGACCACAATTGCTAGCCACGACTGCTCCACTGTAGATTTTTGGAAACACTACAACATTTTGATGTGTATCAAGAATATCGCTACCGCCTGGGAGGCTGTGACGACAAAGTGCATGAATGGCATCTGGAAAAAATTGTGTTAAGTGCTATGTTAATGATTTTGACAGTGCTATGTTAATGATTTTGACGGATTTGACAGTGAACATGAACTTGAAACGATTCGGGAAAAAATAGTAAAACTCGCTAAAGACCTTTCTTTGGAGTGTGAAATGGAAGATGTCGAAGAGTTGCTAGACAAAGAATCCGGAGAACTTACAAATGAAGAGCTAATCGAACTGGAAGAAGAAAGAGTGGCGGAAGAAGAAAGAAGAGAAGCAGAGAAAGAAGAGGAGGAGCCAGAAAGTTCACCACTAAGGGATTATCAGACGGTTTATCTTTACTGAATAAACTTCTTATATATTTCGAAGCAATGGACCCAAACATCGAACGATTTGCAAGGATTGAACGGATGGCGCATGATGTGTTTCGTCCGTATCGTGAAATTTATGAAGAAAAAAAGAAACATACAATTTAGACAAAGCTCACCATGTTTATGAAAAAAGCAACTCTGGTAACCCCAACTGCTGCCTCAGATGACGACATCAACTATCCGCAGTCAAGCACCAGCGGCCAATAAAATGTTTCGTACATGTTTATATATTTTGATATGTTTTGCAATTGGGAAAATGTTTCCTATGGTATTTTTTACACCTGTATTTTGTATTTTTGTATGCACCTGTATTTTGTAATTTTGTATGTTTTGCAAATATTAAACCAGTTGTACTGGTAATGCAGTGTTTTACTTAAACCTGATGAATGTAAAAATAAGAAACAAAATGGTGTAGAGATGATACAAATGGCATAAAATGAACAAAGAAAATTATGATATATAACAATAATGAAAGAAAATTATGATAAAATATGACTTAAAGGTTTTTTTTTTTTTTTTGACTTACAGGTTTTTATAACATCATTTCACAGTACTGTACATATAGACTACTCAACTTATGACCAAATCGTGTTACGACCGGTCTGACTAAGTTGAGCACTAGCTGTACATTGATACCACAGAGCCCAGTGTCATCGACATCTTCCATCATCAATTCTAGTCTGCAGAGGTCAATCAACCCTTACTAGGCTTTTCAAAGTTTCCAGTATACTCTTCACCATTACATTTCTTTTTGTTGTTTGAGATAGGATCTTACTTTGTCACTCAGGCTAGTGTATTGGCATGATCAAGGCTCACTGCAGCCTTGACCTCCTGGCTCAAGCAGTCCTCCCACCTGAGCCTCCCAAAGTGCTGGGATTACAGGCATGATCCACTGCACTTGACTATTATTATACTTTTTTTGCCTTAGTTATGAATATCATCTGGGCCTTTCCAGGGAAAAGTCAGGTGGTAACTTCTCCAGTTTCAAACAACAAATACATCCCTAAGCTTTCTGACCCCTTCCTCAGTACTGTCAGATAACTGCTGGCATGTTTATCATATCTTCTATATACCATCCTTGCATTGTGTTAGGAGCAACTCCAGAGATTCTTGTCAGGGAATTAAACCGTGCATCATGAGTGAGTGCTCCGATGTCACTCTCTCCTCTCAAGCCTTATATTCCATCCCTACCACACTCCTTGATTCAGCAGCCTCAAGATCTACTCTCAGACATATTCCCTGGGTTCCTCCCAATACATTTTAACCAGAATCTGCAATTGAGTCAGAGTGAAACCTGTCCTCCTAGAGGAAGGACTACATTCCCCAAGTTAGGGTTTGCTGAGACCTGATCCTAGTTATTACTTTGGAGTCAATGAGAGGTAGCAAGTGTAGGTCTTGAGGAGGACAAGTGTTACCTTGTGATACAAGGCCTCAGATAAAGCCTTTAGAAAATCTCAAAGCAAAGGGCAGGCTATACTCCTCTAGAAAATTGGAGGACACAATTTGTGCCAGCTCAGAGTTCAAGGATCCTGAGGGTTTGAGATTCTCAGGCACCAACACAAATGTCCCCATCCTATGATTTAGGGTTCCATTCTTTTTGTGTCAGCACACTGACTTTGCTGGAGACTGTGCATTCAGCCTCCTTTGCAGCCTTGCCACCTTTACTGTTAGATTTGAGCCTGATTGGCAGCAGTCTGCCCTGTATCTGCAGATGAGTTTCCTTAGAGTGCTATAGAGGGACTCTGGCTTTCACAGCATTCCTTGAATTAAATGGCTGTCATGAGCCTATGTCATTTTCTTTTTCAAAGCTCCTAAAGCATTTCAAAGTAGCAAATGAATACTTTATAATTTCCACTAGTCCTATTTCACTGTAATGACACAGCTACTGCATAATCTAGCACTTCACCTCCCACCTGCACTTCATCCAAATCCACTGCAATAACTAATCCATTCACAAGATACTATTTTGAGTGTTTGCTTTCAAAAGCCATTCCTGGTACCAACCATCTTAGCGTGAGTTTATCCCTTGCCCAAAAGCAAAGCCTAAGACAAATGTTCTTATACCAGTAAATGTTATTATACAAGTAATTTATTTGGGAAGTGATCCGAGGGAACCAGAGGGAGCGGAAGAGGAGTGGAAAAGGAAAAAAGAGAAAGCTAACATAGGGATGTATTATTATTGAGTTGGCTGCTGCTATGGGTGACTGGAGCTTAGCGTCGGAAGGAAGCGCAGCTGGAAGGAAGAGCACTTATCTTTTGGGCTTCCACCTCCCGTTAATCAAGAATGGCCCCAAAGTCACTAGCTCCCTAACATCTTTGGGCTGCATATGTATGATACAGTGGAGTTCCAGTGGGCATCCCAAGCCAGTGTCGGAAGATTGCTGCAGAAGGAAGCAAGAGGGCTGTGACACGGGCCCAAGACAAGGTGCCATCAAATGGCTTCCACTATCAGAAACCTGCTGGAAAGTGTTCCACAGCAGTAATGGAGTAAGACATAAATGGGCCAAGATGATTTGCAGTGGCACACAAGATGTGTCCAGTACAGTTACAGACAATGGGTAGTTGACAATACAACTTACTATCTTTGACCTGAGAAAGATGATTGAAAAAAAAAGAATTAATATCACTAAAAAATGGCAGTATAATTTTAAGATACATTTTTTATTTAAAAACATAACATTACAAACTTTGAAAAATAAAAAAATTAACGATTTTAGCTATTTTGTTGTTTGTTTTGTTTTTAACTTACTATTTTGTATGACAAACACAGCTCTTACATATTTGTTCAGAACCCTTGATAATATCTTTAATTTTTTAAATAGCTTGAAACGGTTAAATTATTATGTGCTAAAAAGATTTGCTGTACTCTCAGGAAGACTCATATAAAATAATCTCATTTGTTAGGAGAGAGAAAAGGTATACACATAGCAACAAATTCATGAGTTTTGACAAAAGTAATAGGCATTTTTAGTTATTTAAATAAATTAAGGAAACATTGCAAAAGACATTTATACAGTAAAAAAGTAAATAATTTGAGGAAAAATAAACTGTATTATTACATTTAAATAAACATGAAAAAGATATACTTGGATGATGGTTTTAATTTCTCCAACAGTCTTCATGAAGGTTTTGTAGCTGATGGCAATGGAGCTTTTCCTTTCCGCTTACCAGCCTTTTCCATTTTTATCTGTAAATTTAACATATTTATTGATACAATAACTTGTAAACCATTCTAAAAAAAAAAACTTGCATAAAACTCATTCAGATTCATGTCACAGCCATTCCACACAGTTATTAAACTGCTAAATACTAAAGACAAAATCTCTTAAAGGGACATGATTACACATTTTTAAATGGTTTGATTTTAATTTTACAGAAGCATTTTAATAAAAGTAACATATGAATATTGCTTTAGAGAAAAAAAATTAATTTCAATTGCCACTAACATTAAAAGTGCTAGCTGGACGCAGTGGCTCACGCCTGTAATCCCAGCACTTTGGGAGGCCATGGTGGGCAGATCATGAGCTCAAGAGAGTGAGACCAGCCTGGCCAACATGGTGAAACCCCATCTCTACTAAAAATACAAAAATTAGCTAAGCGTGGTGGCACGTGCCTGTAGTCCCAGCTACTTGGGAGGCTGAGACAGGAGAATTGCTTGATCCCAGGAGGTGCAAGTTGCAGTGAGCCAAGATCATGCCACTGCACTCCAGCCTGGCGAAAGAGCAAGACTCCATCTCAAAAGAAAAATTAATTAAAAGTGCTTAAAATTCTTAAACTTACATCCAGCCTATGCACATTGCCTACAGAGTTACAGAATGCACCTAATCCAGCTGGATTCTCTCTGGAACGTGGACTGCCTTAAGGATAGTTTCCTATTAATTCTGGTTTCTATATTCCTGGTTACCTTCCTGAAGGTCTTGTCCTCCTCTATTATAGTTAAAGCAAAAAAGTAGCACACATACCCTAAGCAGTGGACTCCTAACTTTTTAGACATAAAGAGACATTTTCCATGGGATTAAAGACCCCAGAGAACATAAAGCCCACCTGCCTCTTACTCACCACCACTCATATTCACACACACCAATTTCCAGAGGCAACCCCACTGCCTTACCCCTGCAAGAGAAGGGGAGAGGAAGTCGAGGGCCATGGTAGAAGAAGGCAGGGCCTCCAAACTTTTGAAGTGATGGGAATAATATCAAGAAACCAGGAGAGGCTGGGTGTGGTGGCTCATGTCTGTAATCCCAGCACTTTGGGAAGCTGAGGTGGGCAGATCACAAGGTCAGAAGATTGAGACCATCCTGGCCAACACGATGAAACCCCATCTCTACTAAAAATACAAAAAATTAGCCAGGCATGGTGGCACTTGCCTGTAGACTCAGGCAGTAGAATCCCTCTCACCGGGAGGCGGAGGATGCAGTGAGCCAAGATGGTGCCATCGCACGCCAGCCTGGACGACAGAGTGAGACTCCGTATTAAAAAAGAAAATGAAAAAGAAACCAGGCAAAACCAGTCTATCCAATCCCATCAAACTGCAAGTAAAAAAAGTTCCCAACCGTAAAACTAGATTAATGTAACCTCTGTCTCCTCCACATTTATTCCTTCTCTCTCCTCTTTGAGTTGCGTTGGGAACCTCAGACACCATACACTCATACCATTCTTGCAAACTGTATCAAACAACAGGTCATCTGAAGGACCCCCAAAAATACCTTATTCTAGGGCAAAAGTTACAGGTTTTAATGTCAAATAGAAAAGAATTTGAATCCTACTTCTGCCATTTATTAAGCATTTCGGGCAAGTTATTTAACAGTTTTACATCTGTAAAAAATGTCATAGTAATAGCTACTCCTCAGGGTTGTTCTAGAGCTGTAAATAATACATATAAAGATCTAGGCACTTAAGCACTCAATAAATGTGAGACCCTTTTCCTCGCTCATTTAAAGTCAACTGTTAGATTTGTAGGAACATAAGTTTTTAAGAAGCAAAGATGCTAAAATACAAACAAAAGCCAAATCAATGTTTTGACATTTGAAATAATACTTAGCAAATACATCCATCTACCAATCTACCATCTAGAGTCTTTTTTTTTTCTTTTTGAGACAGAGTATCTGTCACCCAAGCTGGAATGCAGTGGCCCAATCTCAGCTCATTGCAACTTCCACCTCCCAGGTTCAAGTGATTCTGCTGCCTCAGTCTCCCAGTAGCTGGGATTACAGGCGTGCACCACCATACCCAACTAATTTTTGTATTTTTAGTAGAAACAGGGTTTCACCATGTTGGCCAGGCTGTTCTTGAACTCCTGACCTCAAGTGATCTGCCCACCTCGATCTCCCGAAGTGCTGGGATTACAGGCATGAACAACCACACCCAGAAAACCATCTAGAGTCTTAAGAAAAATGATACATCCTCCTCTTCTTTTTTGTTTGTTTTTTAAATTTTCTGACAGAAATACAGTGCCTTGCACCCAGTACACCTTTGATACTTGTTTCCTTAATAAAATTCTCCTTTCTTGGGGAAAAGAGATCAAGAGTCATCCACAGCAGAAGAAAATAACTTCAACTGATAATATAAAAGCAACTTTTCAATAGTATCTAAAAGCAGCTGGTAAAATATGTAACCACAAAGACCTCACTTATCAAAGCCAACTTACACTAATCATAGATTCTTCCCCACCAGATGTTACCAGTGATTAGCAAAGAAGACAAGCAAAAACCAGATACATATGGCATTGCTCTTGCAAGAGGCTCTGAACTATTAGACACACAGCTTCCTAATCATCCAAATGGTTTTGGAGTAAAAGACAAGCACTAATAGCACGTATGGTACATGTCACCTCAGAGGAAGTAATTTAGGTTTAGGCTTCTTAGTTTTTATACTCCATTAATCACACATGGTAGAGAGTTTATAAGCTGTATCTCATAAATCTATAAATCACAGAGGCTACAAAGTTATAAACTACAGCTCATAAATCCATAAATTCTAGGTTTATTCATATTAAGCAATCTCACCCCTGCCCCCCGAGACAAAATGTTGCTCTGTCACCCGTACTGGAGTGCAGTGGTATGATCTCGGCTCACTGCAACCTCACCTCCCGGGTTCAAGCAATTCTTCTGCCTCAGCCTTCCAAGGAGCTGGGATTATAGGTGCACACCACCACTCCCAGCTAAATTTTTCTTTCTTTTCTTTTCTTTTTTTTTTTTTTTTTTTTGTATTTTTAGTAGAGACGGGGTTTCACCATTTTGACCAGCCTGGTCTCGAACTCCCGACCTTGTGATCCACCCGCCTTGGCCTCCCAAAATGCTGAGTCACCACACCTGGCCTATAATAAGCAATCTTGGTTGGATGTGGTGGCTCACACCTGTAATCCCAGAACTTTGGGGGGCCGAGGCAGCCAGATCATCTGAGGCGGGGAGTTCAAGACCAGCCTGACCAACATGGAGAAACCCTATCTGTACTAAAAATACAAAATTAGCTAGGTGTGGTGGCGCATGCCTGTAATCCTAGCTACTTGGGAAGCTGAGGCAGGAAAATCACTTGAACCGGGGAGGCGGAAGTTGCAGTGAGCTGAGATCGCGCCGTTGCACTCCAGCCTGGGCAACAAGAGTGAAACTCAGTCTCAAAAAATAAATAAATAAGGAATCTTGACAGGCCAGGTATATCCTTTAAAACATTCATAAATAAGAATTCCTCTCCTTATCTTCTCACAGGCAAACACCACTGGCATGTTTTCAAGGCAGCCAAAACTCCAGTCTTCTGGAGAAGGGATGGAAGGAATTCTAGAACCTAGTTTCTCATAAGCCTGTAAGGAAAAACTAAAACTTGGCTATGAGGGTGTGTGTTCCAAGAACGAAGACTGATTTGATTATAAGTTTATAACCTTGATGCTGCTGCAAAAGCTGCCTTTCCTTCCATCACTGCGACCATTTCATCTCCCTCACTGACATCCTACCACACCTCTTTCCCCTTGCTGGGGTCTGAATGTTTTTGTCCCCCCCAAAATTCATGTTGAAATCCTAACCCCCAGTGTAGTGGTATGAGGAGATGGGGACTGTGGGCAGTGATTAGATCATGAGGGCAGAGCTCTCATGAATGGGATAGGTGCCTTATAAAAGAGGCCTCAAGACCCATCACGTTCCTTTCACCATATGAGGACACAGCAAGAAGAGGCTATCTGCGGACCAGGACGCGGGCCTTCACGAGACACCAAATCTGCCAGCACCTTGATCTTAGACTTCCTAGTCTCTGAAACTGTGAGCAATAAATGTCTGTTGTTTATAAGCCACCCAGCTTTAGGGTATTTTTTTTTTTTTTTTTTTTTTGAGACGGCGTTTCGCTCTTGTTACCCAGGCTGGAGTGCAATGGCGCGATCTCGGCTCACCGCAACCTCCGCCTCCTGGGTTCAGGCAATTCTCCTGCCTCAGCCTCCTGAGTAGCTGGGATTCCAGGCACGCGCTACCATGCCCAGCTAATTTTTTTTAGTTTTAGTAGAGACGGGGTTTCACCGTGTTGACCAGGATGGTCTCGATCTCTTGACCTCGTGATCCACCCGCCTCGGCCTGCCAAAGTGCTGGGATTACAGGCGTGAGCCACCGGCGCCCAGCCAGAGTATTTTAACAGTCCAAACAGACTTAAGTCCTCTCCCCTTCAACTTCAAAATTCTTAAGCTACTCTGTCTCTAATTTACTTCCTGAATTTTCTTAATGTTCAACTTTTCCACACTTTCAGTTACTCAACAAGCTCTTGTCTAAGAGTTGAAGAGGATACAAAAAAAGTGGCAGGAGTATCTTTACTTTTGTGGAGTTTATTACCTGGCTGGAGAGATAATGATGCCCACAAAACAACTCTAAAGAAAGTACTTGCAGCCATATGGCTGAAATACTATTCCCATACCTCATTAAGCCAACATTCTTTCATCTAGTAAAACATAAAAACAAAATAAAACTCTCAAATATGAACATGGCCATGAAACATATCAAAAGTATAAGAAGTTGACATGTACGAAAGTATCAATTATATTTGTGTTAATTTTTTCAATTTTCTGTAAATTCATAATTCATTAAAAACTTATTACATACAAAGCACTCACTGTGCTAGGTGCTAGGGAAAATACAAGAGTGAATAAAACACTATGCTTATCTCCAAGACATTTACACACTGGTGAACTGAGTCACCATTACTTAAAGCTGTGAGCACATCAAGACTACACTTGTTTACCCCCGGAAACTGTTAAAATATGTTTATGTTTAATATTCCATTTCTTAAAGAATATTGAGTACTTTTTTTTTTTTAATAGGGGAGTGCAGTAGCACGATCTCTGCTCACTGCAACCTCCGCCTCCTGGGTTCAAGCGATTCTCCTGCCTCAGCCTCCCAGATAGCTGGGATTACAGGCATGCACCATCATGCCAAGCTAATTTTTGTATTTTTCTTAGTAGAGATAAGGTCTCGCCATGTTGGCTAGGCTGGTCCCGAACTCCTGACTTCAGGTGATCTGCCCACCTTGGCCTCCCAAAGTCCTGGGATTACAGGTGTGAGCTGCTGCGCCCAGATGTATATTGGGTAATTTTAATGAGTCTGGATACACCTAAAAGCCTCTAAGACGAATAAATAATACATATTAAGAGTTAAACTGGCATGGTGGCTCACACCTATAATCCCAGCACTTTGGGAGGCCAACACAGGCAGATCACGAGGTCAAGAGATGGAGACCATCCTGGCCAATGGTGAAACCGTCTTTACTAAAAATACAAAAATTAGCCAGGCATGGCTGCGCATGCCTTAGTCCCAGCTACTCGGGAGGCTGGGGCAGGAGAATCTCTTGAACCTGGGAGGCAAAGTTTGCAGTGAGCCAAGATTGCACCTGTGCACTCTAGCCTAGCGACAGAGGGAGACTCTGTCTCAAAAAAAAAAAAAAAAAAAAAGAATTCAAAATATACTCAATGTTTATTTGACAAATATTTTTAAATAAAAAATAAAGGTACCTGTATAAAAAAAGAAATTTGAGATACATATAATTTATAAGTCTGCTGATATTGATGTTTATTACTGACCATTTTAGTTGCGTATTTATCCAATGTTTATAACCTTCATAAATCAACCAGTGTATTAAATACCATGTTATTCAGTAGTCCTGTTTCTATTTAAATTATTCTAATAAGCCTCAAGGCCTAATACCAACTGTAAGTAAAGATTTTATAAATTATTTTCAAGGATGTTCCACATTCAATATATGATCGTTCTAGTGCTTTTGCTACGAGTAAATGCTTAATGCAAGTGGATTTCCTCAAAAACCTACCCTTTCCTGGTATCGTCTTTCAAAGAAAGCCATATCATCCTCTTCGGGTCTCCTTATCGAAGAAACTTGACTACTTGTACCTACTAATGAGGAAAAAAAAGTCTAAGTAATGTATTTGCATCATTACATATTCCCCTGAAATAAAAGAAAGGTTTTCTCCTGCCAAGTGATTATGATTTATTTTTCAACCCAGAAATGGCCTAGATGAATAATTGGTCCTACTACCTAATTCTCTTACAGAGAGAATGGCATCCCAAGACAAAAGTGTTTTTCACAGCAAACATTCTCCAAATACTCCACCATTCATATTAAATAGCACCATATAGCTATTCTGTATAAGACTATGCTTAGTCTTGTCCAACTACTTTTCACATTGTATAACTAGAAATCCATGTTACACTTTGAGACAATGCATAAAAGTAATTATTGAGGCTTGGTATAGGCAGCCATAGTGATGATAGTACCTGCCTCAAAATGTTTCAAAACTTAACTATTTTAGCCATTTTTCATGGTACTCACTTCGTAAAACTGATCAAGCACTAAATTATATGCTGAAATGAATTTTTTAAATTGCTTCAGTAGGAAAAAAATATGGTTTTCTTGGTAGGTACCCCAAAAGCCTAATTTCATAGAAAAGTTCACTTTCATTGAGGGTGAATGTCTTCATTGGGTCCCTTCAATTCCAAAACAGAACAGCAACCTGAACACATGTTCTTCTAGTTTGTAAAGCACATGAATTCACCCTCAATCAGCAACATGAAAACATGTAACTGCAGACAATCACCACAGAGTACAACTACAGTCTGTCTGCTATCTTTGACAAGTCTTATTGAGAAGAGTAAGAAGGGATGCTTAGAATATGTGTTATCTACCTATTCCTCCGGAAACTCTAGGTCTGTCTCTGGATCATATCAAACCATTTGAGCCAAGCCTCTTCTAGAGTCATCTTCACTGAGTTGCATTATAATGGTATATTGTCATTTATCTAGTAAAATGTTATATCACAACTCATCAAAGGTGACTATCAGGCTGGGCGCAGTGATTCACACCTGCAGTCACAGCACCTGGGGAGGCAGAGACAGGTGGATTGCTTGAGCTCAGGTGTTCGAGACCAACCTGGACAACATGGCAAAACTCTGTCTCTACAAAAAATTCAAAATTTAGCTGGGCATGGCAGTACATTCCTGTAGTCCCAGCTACTCAGGAGGCTAAGGTAGGAGGATCACTTGAGTCAAGCAGGTGGAGGTTGCAGTGAGCCAAGATCACATCCCTACACTCCAGCCTGGGTTACAGAGCAAGACTGCTTCAAAAAAAAGGAAAAGAAGGTGACTATCAGAAATAAGCAACCATTTGCTGTATTTGCTGAAAAAAAGCTTTCACTTTGGCCACTAATCACTCAGGGTCACTACACAGACTTAAAATCCAGCATGCCCAGCCTGGAGCAGTGACACATAGCTATAATCCCAGTGCTTTGGGAAGCTGAGGCAGGAGGAGAGCTTGGGGCCAGGAGTTTGAGACCAGCTTAGTCAACATAGCAAGAATCTGCCGCTGCAAGAAAAAAATTTTTAATTACCCAGGTGTGGTGGTACACCTATACTCCTAGCTACATGGGAGGCTGAGGCAGGAAGATCACTTGAGCCCAGAAGTTCAAGGTTACAGTGAGCCGTGATCATACCACTGCACACTAGCTTGGGCAACAGAGCAAAAATTTGTCTCAAAAAAAAAAAAAAAAAATCCAGCTTTGGTGTAACAATCATTAGCACTGAGGAACTCAGGTTTCCTCCTGTCTAATAAAAAAAAAGCATTTAATTGACTGCACCTTCCTCTCTGCCTTGGCTACCACTAACCTCAGTTAAAACTGAAATTTAAACAAAGCAATTACATCAACCTGGAAAGCTGCCACAGTTGTGCCCTTTTCTTGGCTTCTTTCTTCTATATATATTTTATCATTATATACTGAGTCGTATATTGCAAACAGGCTTAAAATTCCTTGTGAGGAATGTCTAGGTGTGTGAAATACAGATAAATCAAAGAAAATTCTCATTTTAAAATACTGTAAAATATTAAACTTTTTTTTTTTTTTTTTTTTTTTTTGGGACGGAGTTTTGCTCTCGTTACCCAGGCTGGAGTGCAATGGCGCGATCTCGGCTCACCGCAACCTCCGCCTCCCGGGTTCAGGCAATTCTCCTGCCTCAGCTTCCTGAGTAGCTGGGATTACAGGCACGCACCACCATGCCCAGCTAATTTTTTGTATTTTTAGTAGAGACGGGGTTTCACCGTGTTGACCAGGATGGTCTCGATCTCTTGACCTCGTGATCCGCCCGCCTCGGCCTCCCAAAGTACTGGGATTACAGGCTTGAGCCACCGCGCCCGGCCTCAAATATTAAACTTTAAATACCTAATAAGTCATACAAATTCATTCTTCTTGTTTTCAATAAGGGAAATATAGCATACTGGTGATTAAAAATGAATTCTTCTTGCTCTTAATTTATAAATGATAAAAACCTGCTAACCTATGGCTATCACTGGATTATGCCTCTTTGGGAAAGCCCAAAGGCAATTAGTCCACCAGAGGGCCCTCTAATTCAAACACCAGAGCAACAGCATGTACCAGAACAAGGTTTAAAACTTTAAATTATAGTATTATCAGAATCCTCAAAATTCTCAGAGTTAGCTATTTTTCCCAATACAAAATGAAGTTGCTTGCTTTTTCTTGTTGTGTGGCTAACATAAAAGAAAGTAAAATGATAGATTAACTTGAAGTTAAATTATCATAATAATGGAAAAAAGAGAGAAGCCTCGAAAACAAATCAAAGCTCCATATTCTAATTGACTACATCCAAAAATAGTTCTAAATTAATTTCATTACCATCTGTTAACATTTGTGGAGAAGAACTAGATGATGCTTGAAATGCTTTTAGGAATGGGTGGTCTACTGCCATAGTGGGAGATTCTAAAAATTCCACTGAAGGTGCACCTGTGCAAACAATACATAGAGAATAAAAATTAAATATTTACAAGGATACAAACAAGTTATTACTTTTTTTTTTTTTTTAAAGATGGGGTTTCACCATGATGGCCAGGCTGGTCTTGAACTCCTGACCTTAGGTGATCCACCCACCTCGGCCTCCCAAAGTGCTAGGATTATAGGCGTGAGCCAACACGCCCAGCCACAAGTTATTACTTCTAATGTAAAATAAATTGGAATCTCAGCACAATCATTAGAAATTCCTCCTATAAAAAAAATTTTTAGACTGGGTGCAATGGCTCATGCCTATAATTCCAACACTTTGGAAAGCCAAAGCAAGAGGATCACTTGAAGCCAAGAGTTCACGACCAGTCTCGGCAACATAGGGAGACCTCATCTCTAAAACAACAACAACAACAACAAAAATTAGCCAGGCATGGTGGCAAGTGCCTATAGTCCTACCTACTTGGAAGGGTAAAGCAGGAAGATTACTGGAGCCCAGGAATTTGAGGCTGCAGTGGGCTATGATCACATCACTTCACTGGATCCAGCCTGGGTAACAGAGTGAGACCCTATCTTTTTATTTAGATTTTTGTCTGACATATAAAGTAAAGGCAAATGGGTAAAAGTATTCTGCACATTTCTGAGATCTTTTTCACAGAAAAAAGAATATTATGTACCTATGTTAGCATAGAAGTTCAAAACCCTAATATATAATAGTTACAAAACACTGTCAAAAGCAAGACATTCACAGTAAGGAACCTCTGGCTGAAAAGGGTAGAGTAAATGTATTTTTACTCCATTCCTTACTAGGAAACCCTCTAAAAACAAAGTATGAAAAATAAAAAGAAAATACCTCTTCAATGAAATGAGGAAACATCCACAACTCCAAACCATACACTACAAAGACCAATTGCTGAATACATTGAGTTTTGGACTGAAAGGAAGGAAGCTGGAGAGAAAATGTGTAGCTGCTCTGTCTTCTTCATAAGCCACCACTTTCCCCCGATACCCCTAACCCTATATCACAGATGAAGGAAAGCAAGTGAGCTTTTAGTCCTAACTGGGTTAGAAGTTAGCCCTATCTTAAAACATAGACAATGTGGGACAACTGCTCTGTCTCTCCCCTCTCCTATCCCCAGTGGCTCTCATGGGGCATGTGGGAATATGACAGAAGGTGCTCTGGTCCACACCGGTCTTTGTGCTGCCCTCTGGTGGCTCCATGTGCTAATGATCTCAAATGCTCAACTTGGATTTAGTAAGTTGGTCTCTCAGCTTGATACAGCCTCCTAGCCTCATGCTTGCTCCCACTGGAGGTACACACTCCCTCAGTGCCTGTCACTTCCTCTACTGAGTCCCCCAGCTTAGAGGATCCACCTCCAGCTCTGCCCCCTGCTATGACAGGTGGCATGGCAGGCCCACTCACAGGTTAGCTGCCTTCTCAGCACCCTCAGGAGAACTGGGAATTATGAACTCCTTCAACATCAAAAAAGAACCAAATTCCAGCAAGAGGTTTCCTCACTCTAGATATCCACGTGGCTAACAGATAGCCATGGAGTCCCTCTGCCCCTAGGTTCCTTCATACCTGAAATCAGGATAAAAACCTGTATTATTTCCTTTCTTCACTCTCTCCTTTCTTAACCCCATCTTCTTTCATGGACCAAAAGGAAGAGGTTTTCTTTCTCTATACAATCATGTGTTACATAAGACATTTTGGTCAACAGTGGGCGCATATACAATGGTGGCCCCATAAGATTATAACAGAGCTGCCCCCTGAAAGTATAACATTTTATTTATTTATTTCTTTTTTTTTTTTTTTTTGAGACGGAGTTTCACTCATGTTACCCAGGCTGGAGCGCAATGGCGCGATCTCGGCTCACCGCAACCTCCGCCTCCTGGGTTCAGGCAATTCTCCTGCCTCAGCCTCCTGAGTAGCTGGGATTACAGGCATGCACCACCATGCCCAGCTAATTTTTTGTATTTTTAGTAGAGATGGGGTTTCACCATGTTGACCAGGATGGTCTCGATCTCTTGACCTCGTGATCCACCCGCCTCGGCCTCCCAAAGTGCTGGGATTACAGGCTTGAGCCACCGCGCCCGGCCACATTTTATTTATTTCTTTCGAGGCAGGGTCTCTCTCTGTCCCCAGGCTGGAGGGCAATGGCGCCATCACAGCTCATTGCAACCTCTAAATCTCAGGCTCAGGTGGGATGTAGCCCTCACCAAGTAGCTGGGACTACAGGCACACACATGATACCACACCCAGCTAATTTTTTGTAGTTTTGTAGAGACAGAGTTTCACCATGTTGCCAGACTGGTCTCAAACTCCTGGGCTCAAGCAATCTGCCTGCCTCGGCCTCCCAAAATGCTATAAAGTGCTTAACAAATATAAGCCTTCACTATTGTTAACACATATAAAAATGACAGGCTCACATTTCATATAGTATCACTTACCAATCCCACTGTCATCTAATCGCATGTAGCCTTCTGCCAGCGAGCTGAAACCAGTTAATCCTCCCATGGCTGCATAAGGAACATCCTGTCCCACTGGTTTTCCCTGAGCCAATCTTTCTTGCTTAGTTTCCACGGCTGTGTCATGGGCATATGCAGGCTGACCACAAGCACAAGTGAAGCAGCTATGGAATCCAGAACACTTGGAACCTGAATCAAGATGGAAAGGGAGTTAAATTCTTTTTTATTTTATTTTTTTTGAGACTGAGTCTCGCTCTGTCACCCAGGCTGGAGTGCAATGGCACACACTTGGCTCACCATAAGCTCCGCCTCCTGGGTTCAAGCAATTCTCCTGCCTCAGCCTCCCAGATAGCTGGGACTACAGGCGTACGGTACCACAATCAGCTAATTTTTCTATTTTTAGTAGAGATGGGGTTTCAACATGTTTGTCAGGCTGGTCTCAAACTCCTGACCTCATGATCCGCCTGCCTCAGCCTTCCAAAGTGCTAAGATTAAAGGTGTAAGCCACCGAGCCCGGTCGGGAGTTAAATTCTTAAAGGTACTAACTTGTCTACCCTAAAGACACTTAGCCTGGCTAAGGCTATTTGAATCTAGATCCTCTGGCCCGTATAACTCTTACCTCCCACCGCTGAACTCCTTCCTAGCCACTGTTCTTACTTGTAAAACATGCTGAAGTAGTAACCGGGTACGCCATAGGAAAAAAAAACAACCTGCAAAAAACAACAAGGACTAAAAGAAATTGAAGAGCCAGGTATGCAGGCCCTGTCCTCACAAACTGAATTAAAAGAAGGCATGGCAGGGACAGCCCAGTGGCCACCACCAGGTGAAAAGGTAATGTAGAAATCTTCCTACAGATCAACTCCCCAAAAAAGCCACATTGGAAGACCAACCTGTAGACACAGAAGGTGTGCAGTGGAATCTTGTTCAGCAATAAAAAGCAAAGAAGTATGATATAGGCTACATGGATGAATCATGAAAACATCATGCTAAATGAAGAAGCCAGTCACAAAAGACCACATATTCTATGATTTTAGTTATATAAAATGTCCAGAATTGGCAAATCCAGAGACAAAAAGTAGATTATGGGTTGCTTAGGGCTGGGGAGAGGGAAAAATAAGGAATGACTCCATAATAGTGAATATGGAGTTTCTTTCGGGGGTGAGAAAAATGTTCTGAAGTGTATTGTGCTGGTGGTTACACAACATTCACTCTGATTGTGTATTAAAAATCATTAAACTGCACATTTTAAATTGGTTAACTGTATGATATGTAAATTATGTCTTAACAAAGTGGTTATATAAAAAAATCAAGCCATATTTGGAGGCCAGAATATATGATTAACAAAATCTTTACCCACTCACATCTCTGACAAATATATATGGGAACAGCCAGGTGTGCTGGCTCACGTCTGTAATCCCAGCACTTTGGGGGCTGAGGCAGGCAGATCACCTGAGGTCAGGAATCCAAGACCAGCCTGGCCAACATGGCAAAACCCTGTCTCTACTAAAAATACAAAACTTAGCTAGGGTGGTGGTGGGTGCCTGTAATCCCAGCTACCCGGAGGCTGAGGCAGGAGAATCACTTGAACCCAGAGGCAGAGGTTGCAGCAAGCCGAGATTGTGCTACTGTGTGACAAAAGTAAAACTCTGTCTCAAAAAACAAAACAAAACAAACAAACAAAATATATATATACATATATATGGGAACCAAGGTATATAAATAAATCAGTTTTCTCCAACTACTTCCATATTCCGCCAATGAAACATTTATTACTGCAACTGTCATTAAAAATGTTTATTACATATTTCATCATAAGATTTCAACTCAAACTACTACAAAAACAACTGGATTAACTACCTCCTGAAGGAAACTAATGGACTGGTACCCTACCTAGTTCAATGGATGATCCAGTGTAAGGGCATATGGGGTAGTGGTTGGAATTTGGGTACACATATTAAGGTAAGGGCGCTATTACATACAAAGCATTAAAATGATCATGCTATGTTAATCTATCAGCAAATCATAACAATTTTTTGACTTATAAAATGGCTTTTTAAAATCTATGAATAGAATTTAGTTCATTAAATTCCCATATTCAAAAATTTGAATCAGATCATATCTGGTAATTCTTTAAAATCCATTACAATTACTTAAATTATCTGAACTACATGAGATGAGGGTTTATGATTACCAAGCATACCATTAACTCCGAGTTCTTCCACAAAAATGAAATCGAGGAGTATTTATCCATTGAATTTTCCTTAGTTGCTTAATATTAATGCTACAACTGAATATTAACTCTACAACTAATACAACTGAATATTAACTCTCTGACCAGTACAAAAGCACATTAAATATTGTGCACATTAAATAAGGAAGACATAGAAACATTCTGTGTTTGTGTATTAATAATCATGTAACTCACATGCATTGCATGTAAAGCCAGGTGCGGCACTGTGCTGATCAGCAAAGTGTTTGCACCTGCAGCGAATGGGCTGGGTACCATTCAAGGGGACATAATGGTAAGCCCTGCACTGGCAGCCAGTCACTCGGCAGGGCAGATCAATGGGGCGCTGCTGGGGAATCGTCTCCAAGTCAGTTTTATGTTGTTTATACCTAAAGAGAGAGGGGGGGGGGGGAAGTATAAACACAATGCAGGTATTATCTAAAATTACAATTTCTATTCTATTAAAGGAAGATACGATTTTTAAATTGTTATTGCTTTATTATTCTTGTTAGTAAGGTGAAACCTCCTACATGTAGTACTTACATCAGCTATCTTGCTTTGGTCAGAGGAAATCTTAACTCTTTTAAATTTCTATTTTTAGTTACTTAAGAAGTTGTTTCACAGCAATACAAAGAAATATCATATAATTTCCTTAAAGTACTTACCTCTACAAATTCCTTAACATAGAAGCACAACCTAAGAGTATGAAAATTTTTCTTTATAAAAGTTATTTTTATCAAAGTGCATTATTTAAATTTATTTGCATACATTTGCTACTTAAAATAGAAATATATTCAATAAACATGTATTGATGTAATTTATTTTAATATAACTTTTGACTTCAAAATAAATGATCAATATTTTTGAAAGCCAAAGCTCCCTCTTATTTTCTTAAATAGGCCACTTACTTCCTTCTCATAAGGTGATATTGAGTAAAATAATACTAAATTTATTATTCTCCATATTAATCAAAGAAATGCAAATTAAAATGAGATACCACTTTAATTTAGCAAAAAGAACCAAAGTTTTTTAAAACTATATGTAATACACAATGCTATCAAGAGTGTTACAAAAGAGCCAGGAGCTGGTGGCACATGCCTATAATCCCAGCACTTTGGGAGGCCGAGGCAAGTGGATCACTTGAGCTCAGGAGTTCGAGACCAACCTGGGCAACATGATGAAACCCCATCTCTACTAAAAATACAAAAATTAGCCAAATGTGGTGGCACATGCCTGTAGTCCCAGCTACTCAGGAGGCTGAGGCAGAAGAATCCCTTGAACCCAGGAGGCAGAGGCTACAGTAGGCTGCGACAGCATCACTGCACTCCAGCCTAGGTAACAGAGGGAGACGCTGTCAAAAAAAAAAGTGTTATAAAAGAACAAATTCTAATTAATAATTTAATAATGTTTCAAGAAATTTTAAAAAGTCCATTCTTTAAACCAGAAATTTCATTTTTGGAAAATATAACCTAGGAAAATAATTCCATATATAGAAAAAGCTTTATGCAATAAATATAATACCAATAGTATTAGCAATAGTACTTACATCAGCTACATTACACACACACACACACACACACACACACGAGAATCAGGACGTAAATTACTAGACAACAGTTTTCAACTCTCTTAGCAGTGAAATCTTTTTGTAAAATAAAATCTTTTACAGAACCAGAATACATAAAACAAATGCAGAATTAGTTACAGCAAGAGGAAGAACAGCATAGAGTTTCACCTTCCCCTAACCTTCCCTTCCACCTGGCACGCCCCCCAAGCCTCCCTCACAGGCCTGGAGAACACAGATAAACACCACTGGACTAGCTGGACTACCTGGCAGGTATTAATAATCTTGTTTTTGATCAGTGCATAACAACATGGAAACATTTCTGTGATTCTGTTATTAAAACTGGCTCAGTATTTTATGCACATGCATAATTAACAACAATTAAATGGACCATGTAAAGAAAAAGTCATATAGATATTGTAAAAAAAAAAAAATTAGCAGCTGGTTTTGGGTAGCGAGCTGCTTCTATATATCCTATACAGAATATAGAATATATTCTATGTTTCTATATATTCCCCATTTTCCTTAATAATCATGTATCACTTTTATAGTGGGGAAAAAGAGTTTAGGAAAAGATCTCATTGACTGGATCACTACTAAATATATTGACTTCTCCATCAAAGTTGAGTTGGGTCAGCTGAGCATGGTGGCTCACAAGTGTAATCTGAGTAGTTTGGAAGGCCGAGGTAGACAGATTACTTGAGCCCAGGAGTTCTAGACCAGTCTGAGCAATAAAGCCAAACTGCATCTCTACAAAAAAATATGAAAATTAGCTGGGTGTGGTGGCACACAACTGTGGTCCCAGCTACTTGGGAGGCTGAGGTAGGAGGATCACTTGAGCCCAGGAGGTCAAGGCTGCAGTGAGCCAAGATCATGCCACGTGCAGTGGCATGATCGACAGAGTAAGATCCTGTCTCAAAAAAAAAAAAAAAAAAAAGTTGAGTTAGATCAATTTTGAGGTACAAGTCCATGCTGTATAACTTATACAGAGAGTAGAAAGTAGCACTAAATTTGTGTAAGAATAAACTATAAAACTATCACAAACCTTACCAAACCCTTCTTTAATTCCGAAAGATATCAACACATCCCTCATCCTCCATTCCTCCTCAGTGTTTTCAGTTGGGGTTGCTAAATAAATTTATAGTCAATCTATCTACAACATTACTCACCCTAGCAACTGCCTAACAAACTTGGGCAAACTGCAACTCTGTAAATAGCAATTATACAAAGAGTCTCACAGAGTCCCAGAAATTGCTATCAGAATAGGGTGGTTTCTCTTGGAACAGAAAGTTGAAGTTGCTACCTGAAAACACAGAATAGATTTAGAGACTTTTCTGTGAAGCAGCTTAGGTATTCCTAACTTTACAACTGTGAGACAGTAGCAAAATTTAAAGTAGAGCATACACACAGCAAAACGCCAAATGCAGATACGGGCAACTCAGGGCAAAAACTGGAGCCTCACTTACTTCCTTTTCTTTCGGCACTTTTCTTGGAACATGACCATTAGTAATACAAAGCAATGTGTTTGTTTGTTTAAAGAAAGGTATCAACACAGCAGCTCCTTAAGGTATAAAAGGCGATTAGTAAATTTGAGGAGAAATGTTTATACTTACAGATGGACAGCATGATCAGTGTGGATCAATTCAAGCAATGCTTAAAGTAGTTCCTCAATCTGATGACCCACTCTCTACCCTCTCCAGTGATGCCAGATGTGGGTAGACTCTGCTCCCTAGTCAAACTGAAAGACCCCTGGCAAAGCCACAGGACCACCAAACATGTTTACCAATGGCAAGAGAACTGCTTAAGGTGATAGACTCCATCATGAGTTCTAATAGGATATGACAGAAATTTTTTAATTATAGCTTAAAAACCTTTAGATAATTTTTGTTTTTTAAGAGACAAGGTTTCACTCTGTCACCCAGGCTGGAATGCAGTTGCACAATCAGAGCTCACTACAGACTAGAACTCCTGGGCTCAAGTGGTCCTCCTGCCTCGGCCTCCCAGACTTCTGAGATAACAGATGTGAGCCACCATGCCCAGCTGATAATTTCTACTCTAATGTATAAAGGACAATTGTTACATGTTTCTCAATCATCACAGTTTCATTTGTAGAAGTAAGATATGCTTAGCTTTTTATTTTCTGATTATCAAAAAACTTAGCAAAAAAATATCTTACCTATGTGTACAAAAACATAGTGTCTCTGGGCCCACAAGTTTACAATCCATCCCAGTTGGTGACCGCCAGCTCACAAATAATCTGTTTTGTAGGCGCAGAGGTAAAACTTTTCTTTTGTATTCTTCATATTCTTCAGGGGTAAAAAGTTTCCCTCCATCATCCTCACCAACAATTCTACAACAAAAAAATATATTTCTCTTAAACTTTGAGTATTTATTTTCCAGACAAGTGATGACCAGGCCACTGAAAATATTAAATAAGTTTGTAAACTTTTATTCTGTACATCTGTCCTTTCTTACAGGATAGGCAGGCCAGGTCTCCGTAACAACTGTTTCAGCACTGAATGAGCAGTTAAGTTAAATATTAAAAGCTGATAGAGCCAGCGTCCTTATCCAAAGGCTGGAATGTAATAAAAGCCCACCAAGAGTTTTGCCTAGGCCTTTTCTGGGCCTTGAAGCATGACAAGATAATGAAGGAATTTTTAAAGGACCCATTTAGGACTAACAAGTTTATTGGGAGATCTGAAAAAACTCCCCAGGCCTCCACAAACAAGTTTATTGGGGGTCTGAAGGAGCTCCCAGATCTCCATGATTTAGCAGGCGACAAGATAAGGGTAATCACCCCAGCACCTGGACCCATTTAGATTAAGTAAATTTACCGAGGCTCCAGAGGAAGGTCTTCAGGACTCAGATTTTAGATATAGATTACTAAAGATATAAGTTAATCACTTATGTCTTTAGACATAAATGATTATGTCTTTAGTAATCTATATTACTAAATTTGAGTTGGGTCAACTTATGTTAATCACTTATGTCTTTAGACAAATGCACATTTACATGTAAACATATAGCATAGGAGGTATACAAACTCTGGAAAACTTTGTAATTTTGAGTTGGTCTGGTGATATTTTCCAGGCCTTCCCCCTATACCTAGTTACAAAAATAAACTCCCTTCTTTCCCAGTTCATCTACAACGAATTATTGGGCTGAGAGAATAAGAAGCCCGACCCTCTGTTTGATCTGGAATCGCACGTGCCTCAGCCATGAACCGCGTGGTGGCTGAGAAAAGAAATCTTTTCTCCCCTATGCTTTCTATATAGGAGGATTATAAATAGGAAAGACAATGAATTCATAACGTGACTTTACTGATCCAGGTTTATCAACAGAGGATTACCACATACTCATCTCAGTTTTTCCTCTGATAATGAAGCAAAGATGCTCATTCTTCTCATTAAAAGTAGAGGCTTAACTGTTAAAAATTCTAACATTTTCCTGCTTTGAAAATGTATCCAAAAAGAAATACAAAAAAATATCAAAGCAGAAGCCACCATGACTAATTTTCCTGCCTGTCTCCAAACCCTGGCCAGGAGTTTAAACTAATGTGGAACCTACATACACACTTGGTTCAGCACAAGCTCAAACCACAGCTGTGTGTTATGTGTTCAGGTTTATCATTGTTTAACTTCAGAAGTAAGAACCCAAAATTTTATGGGAAAACATTAAGCCCTCATTATTTCTATGAAAAGAAAGTAAGAGTTGGCCTCCCTGGAGGAAAAGAAAGCATAATTAAAAGAAGTTTTTCAAAACTGCAGACACTTCTCCCTGGAAATACTCCCCTTGAAAAGTCACAAAAAGTGTTGTTTGTAGAATCCTATATACTTTTTTGTACAATACATGCTTTTTTCCATACTTTGAAGCCTTTAGCCAAGGTAGAAAATAAAAGCCATTGCTCTACGTACTTGCCACTAAAACAAAAAAAAGAAACACCAATTTATAAGCTATAAAATAATCACAACCATCTTCCTTATATAAACAATCTAGATACATAATAGTTAAAAAAAAAAAAAAAAAAAGGGCATTTAATTCTGAGATAAATTTTGGGCTATTTCACTTCCTTTTTTTTTTTTTTTTGAGATGGAATGTTGCTCTGTGGCTCAATCTTAGCTCACTGCAAACTCTGCCTCCCAGATTCAAGTGATTCACCTGCCTCAGCCTCCTGCGTAGCTAGGACCACAGGTGCACACCACCATGCCCAGTTAATTTTTGTATTTGTAGTAGAGGCGGGGTTTCCCCATGTTGGTCAGGATGGTCTCAATCTCTTGACCTCGTGATCCGCTGGCCTCAGCCTCCCAAAATGCTGGGATTACAGGCGTGAGCCACTGAGCCCAGCCATTTCACTTTCTTGTAGCTATCAAGAATACCAACAGGTATTAAGATCTTAAGATAGATACAGATCTTTAAAAGATCTTTTAAAAGTTAGATGTCATTGGTATTTAAGTTCTAAACCAGTGCAACTCAAATTTTATTGTACTTACAGAATCCCCAGGGAATCTTGTACAAATGCAGATTAAGACTCACAGCGCAGTGGCTCACGCCTGTAATCCCAGCACTTTGGGAGGTTGAAGCATGCGGATCACTTGAGGTCAGGAGTTCAAGACCAGCCTGGCCAATATGGCAAAACCCCGTCTCTATCAATAACACAAAATTTCGCTGGGCGTGGTGGTAGGCGCCTATAATCCTAACTACTCCGGAGACTGAAGCACTGAGAATTGCTTGAACTGCGGAGGCAGAGGTTACAGTGAGCTAAGATGACACCACTGCACTCCAGCCTAGGCAGCAGACCAAGACTCCGTCTAAAAAAAAAAATGATTGATTGATAGACACACACACACACACACACACATATATATATATACATATCCACACACACATACAAGATAAGGCCAGGTGTGGTGGCTCACACCTGTAATCCCAGCACTTTGGGAGGCTGAGGTGGAAGGATTGCTTAAGGACAGGATCTCGAGATGAGCCCGGGCATCATAGTGAGGCCCCATCTCTATAAAAAATTTAAAAATTAGCTGAGTGTGGTGATGCATGCCTGTAGTCCCAGCTAGTTAGGAGGCTGAGGTAAGTGAGTCACTTCAACTCAGGAGTTCAAGGTTGCTCTCAGCCATTATGGGTGCCACTGCACTCCAGCATGGGTGACGGAGTGAGGCTCTGTCTGAAAATAATAAATAATAATAGGTCTAGAGTGTCCCTGTGATTCTGCTTTTCTAACAAGCTCCCAGGTGATGCCAGGACACTGGTCAGTGCCTCCCATACTGTAACAAGGCCATATACTTTCCCTCTCAACTGACTCCCACCAAAGTACCTAGGCAAGACCAAATGGAGGAAAACTCTTAGGAAGGAAAGTTTGTTTCCTTCTAAACTCATATTTTGACTCATCTTCCCACCCCACCTTCCCAGTCCACCCTTTCATATCTAGGCACTCAAGTCCTGTTTTCCCCACTTTTCTGAAATTCTGATGTCAGTAAAGGACCTGATAATCTCTTTCAGAAGGAAGTGTTTCAAGTTATTTATGCTTGCAAAAATAATTTCCCAACTGGGTGCGGTGGCTCACGCCTGTAATCCCAACACTTGCAGTGGCGGAGGCGGGCAGATAGCTTGAGTCTAGAAGTTCAAGACCAGCCTGGGCAATATGGTGAAATCCCGTCTCTACAGAAAATACAAAAGGTAGCTGGGCGTCACGGCGCGCAACTGTAGTTCCAGCTACTCGGGAGGCTGAAGCAGGAGAGTCACTTCAACCTGGGAGGAGATTGCGGTGAGCCGAGATGGTACCACTGTACTCCAGCCTGGGCAAGAGTCAGAGACAACCCTGTGTCAATATAATAAATAAATACATCATTTCCCACCGGGTCTGCGCCTAACATGTTCAGGGCTAGGCAAGAGTCAACTGGAGGCCCATAATTCACATATCTATATGCAAATTATAAGTCAACACCAGCTCCAGTAACTTCCTCCCAGGGAAAAGCTCAGGAGAATTGGAGGCTCACGGGGCCGGCTCTGCTATGGAGGAAGATGGGATGGTGGCTGTTTTGACCCTGAACCAGGCGTGGGAACTGACCCCATCAAGCGCCTAGCCCTGCTTCTGGCTTAGAATCTCCAGGCAGTTCTAAGGGTTACTCAAAACTACACCAACGGGGCAGTCAGAGTGGGGGAGCACAGTCAGCTGGGGGTTCATCTGCACACACACCTCAGGGTCATCCGGGCTGCCCACGATCCCACAGAGGAGGCCCTGTCTCTCGCTCCAGCGTCCCAGGCAAAGCCTGGAGCGTCTCCCCTCTGCTTGTACACACACATCCTCCCGCCGCAACTCCGCGTCCTCTGTCGGTCCTCCCCAGGACTTCCCATCCGCCCAGGTTCGCGACCACAAAAACCCCAGGAAGCGGAAAAGGAGCGCGTCACCACAGGTGCACCAGCCTTGGTCAGGACCCAGGACAACGAACCGTGTCCTCAGGCCAAAGGAGCAGCTACGTTTCCAGTTTCGAAGGAACGCCAAACACCAGTCGGTGCCCTTCTCCTAAAACCAGCACCTGGGGGTAGGGAGCGCGTTCAGACGTTCACGATTGGCCCTAATACTGGGCTAATTTGATGTCTGCTAACATCTATAGCCCCGAGTACTCGATGTGTATGTCTTCAATGGCCATTTAAAAAACAGCTGGACCTCTGCATCAATCTAGAGTTAGTCATCCTTCTTGGAAGAGAAGAGAGGGACCTCTCAAATGGCTTCGGAAGACTGATTACTGCATAGAACTGCGTGACTCTACAATATTTAATTAAGGAAAGGCTAATCTGGAATTCATCTAGGCCTCCCCAAACACCCCATGCACAGATTCCGAGAATCCCCGCGGACGCCCGCCGGGCCCCTGCCCGCGTCGCCAGCCCTGGGGTCCCAGCCCCTCCGACAGGCGGAGGGCCGGCCCGGAGTCACAGCCTCACCTCCGGTACTCCAGGTACTCGTCCACCGCCGCCGCGCCGCCGGGAGGCAAGGTCAGCCGCTCCATGACGGGCGGGGAAGCCAAACGCGCGGATCCTACGCGCCGGCGGATTCCGGAGCCCGACCCAGCCCCGCCCCCTCCCGCCTGCCTCCCGATTGGCCCGGCCTGAAGCCCGAGGACGCCGCGCGCGGCTACGGCGCAGGACGCGCGCCCCTACCTGGCAGTGGGCGCCCTGCACCGGAACCCCTGTCTCCTTAAGCGCAGCCCCGCGCCGCTTAGGGTGCAGTTTGCCGCCCTCCGCGAACCTTGCCCTCTGTTCCCCTCTCCCTTTCCCTGGACCTGCAAGTCTTCTTGTAAATTAACAAGTGACGAGAGAGTGCAGTGCCTTGCGTATTATAGGCGCATAGAAAATGGCTTATTTCTTTGTACAGCTCTTCTCGCTTAATCCATCTCTTGAAATATAAGTGGTTTTGAGAAGGTTCTGCTTTAGTTTGAGGCCCGCCTCGCCTTAAGTGTCGGCCTGTTTCCAGTATTGGCGCTTTTTAAAACTGTGATGTAAATCAATTACCCTGGGTGTCTCGTTCACTTTGGGGGATGCTAAAGCAACAGTGTTCTTCAAAGGAACCGAATCACTGATTTAAAGAGAACCAAGTAAAAACAATTTAGGTATGTTTTGTTTCTTTTTTTTTAATTTTTGGAAACTCTACCAAATATGTTTAGAAGCTGAATTACCATGCGATTGGTAATTTGGCCATAATTTGACTTAGCACATTGTGGAAAAGAAGTAGGAAATCCTGTCTCTACAGAAAATACAAAAATACAGGAGGATTTTTGTAAACCTCCTGTATTTTGTATTTGTATAAACCCTAAAGCTCCCAGGGGATCAGCTTCAGCGCCCTCTGTAAATTACCTAGGAGGGAGAAACTGCAAACCGTAAGAAAAATAAACTTCAGCACAGAATTTTATTTTCAAAGTACGTTTCTACATATTTCAGGTCCAGAAAACATTATGTAAACAAATTGTTTGGGTACCAACTCCTCCCTTCTCGGTGCTCTTTCAACATCTCCCACCCTCTGCCCAAAGTCTTCCTCCTGTTCAGAGGCGTTCTTGACAGTCAAATAAATGAGTGATTCTGAAATCGGATCCATTTTTTAGGAGACAGATCTCAGTTTAGTAATCTCTCCTATCACACCTGCAGTTTGCTGCTGCCCATTTTACCTTTTTTCCTCCCCCAATCCCCACGGATTCTTGCTGTGTCACCCAGGCTGACGTGCAGTGGCTCCATCTCGACTCACTGCAACCTCTGCCTCCTGGGTTCAATCAATTCTCCTGCATGAGCCTCCTGAGTAGCTGGGATTACAGGTACAAACCACTGTGCCTGGCTATTTTGTTTTTTTGTTTTTTGTATTTTTAGTAGAGATGTACTTTCACCATGTTGGCCAGGCTGGTCTCAAACTTCTGACCTTGTGATATGCCCGCCTTGGCCTCCCAAAGTGCTGGGATTACAGGCATGATCCACCGTGCCCAGCCCCATTTTACCACTTTATGAGAGCCTAGTCTTGCTTTTAGGCAGCAACTAAACTAACAAAGAAAATAGAAGAAAATGCCACGCTCTGCAAGCTTACAGTAAAGTGGCAGGGAAATGTCTGTGTAGGCAAGTACAATTTAAAGAATCTAAAGGGGAATGGTTAAAACAGATTTAGCACAATTGTGGACTCTTCCAGGAAGATGCTGGAGCAGTAAACTCTTCTTGCCAAAGAAGTCAACAAAAATATTGAGCATGATGAATAAGAGTATGGAACAAACTAGAAAATGTTATCTTAACCTTATTAAAACTGACACCTTTGCAAATTAAAATGCTGTATATGGTTCTGACCTCAGCTTTAATAAAAAGGTATAATCAAACCATAACTTCCTCCCAAAATGTAGCCAAATTGATCTAGGAAGTAGGATGGACAGAGGAACATACAAGTTGCCTAGGCAAGTGTTAGGCATTTTATTTAATCAATCCTCATAAAAGTTTATGAGATAGGAATTGCCAGCTGTGATGTATAGGTTAGGAATGCTTTCCTCTGCAAATAACAGAATCATTCAACTAACAGTGGCTTAAACATAAATTTTATTTTTTATTGCTCTAAACAACGTGGGGGTAGGTAGTTACTCACATTGGTTTAGAGCATTTTCCTCATGGTTGCAAGAGCTGTTACAGCTCCAGAAATCATATCCAAATTCAAGAAAGGAAAAAGGAGGGCCACCAACATCATTTGTTCCTTTTATCAAAGAGTTTTCCTAGAGGCCCCTCTGCAAAAAGATTTTCATTTATATCTCACATGGCCACCCCTTCGTATAAAGAAGACTGGGAAAGTCAATCCAGCACTTAGTTTTCCAGGCTCTATGATGGCAATTTTCAAGGAAAGTGTTAAAAATATGTGTTGGGGTGAGGCGTGGTGGCTCACACCTGTAATCCCAGCACTTTGGGGGCCCAAGGCAGGTGGGTCACCCAAGGTCAGGAGTTCCTGACCAGCCTGACCAACATGGTGAAACCCTGTCTCTACTAAAAATACAAAAATTAGCCAGGCATGGTGTCAGGTGCCCGTAATCTCAGCTATTGGGGAGGCTGAGGCAAGAGAATTGTTTGAATCCAGGAGGCAGAGGTTGCAATGAGCCAAGATTCAGCCACTGCACTCCAGCCTGGGTGATGAGAGTGTAACTCCAGAAAAAAGAAAGAAAAAAAGGAGAGAGAGAGGGAGGGAGGGAGGGAAGGAAGGAAGGAAGAAAGGAAGGAAGTAAAGAAAGAAAGAAGGAAAGGTGTTTTTTGTTAAAAATGTGTTTAGTTCACCAAAAAACATGGTCAATGACAGCTCATTCTTAAAATAATATCCATGCATACCCTTCTTCCCATGCAGGCATTGTACACTAAATGCATTCATTAGACCCCTAACTAAGACAGCTCCAAAATGTCAAAGAGCTGCTGCACCCAGCTTGAAGTCTAAGTCTCTGCAATTTTCTCTATCAATCATTCTTAATCCTGATCAGTCTGATTCTTATTGTCTTCATGGTTTGACAGTTGATAGCTACAAGACTAGAAAGATAATTCTTCAGCATGTATGTCTAACAGATAACTTGGTTTTGGTTTTCATTTTGCTTTTGCTTTTTTTGAGACGGAGTCTTGCTCTGTCACCAGGTTGGAGTGTAGTGGCACGATCTGGGCTCACTGCAACTTCCACCTCCCAGGTTCAAGAAATTCTCCTGCCTCAGCCTCCCGAGTGGCTGGGACTACAGATGCGCACCACCATGTCCAGCTAATTTTTGTATTTTTAGTAGAGATGGGGTTTTACCATGTTGGCCAGGATGGTCTTGATCTCTTGACCTTTTGATCCACCCACCTCGGCCTCCCAAAGTGCTGGGATTACTGGCATGAGTCATTGTGCCCAGCCAATAACTTGTTTTAAAATCCACAATGCCATTATCACTCCTAACAAATTAAACAATAATTCCTTGATATCATCTAATAATACCCAGTCTAGATATCATCTAATAAACCTAGTTTTATGTTAATTAGAATTCAACCAAGGTCCATACCACCTTTGGTTTATATGTGTTTAATATATTACGAGTCTTTTGTAATTTTAGACAGTTCGTATTCTCCTACCACAATTTTTTGTGCCATTAATTTGTTGAAGAATTTGGATCCCTTTTTCTCTAGAATATCTTTCTGAATTTGGTTGTTTACAGAAAGGGGTCACTTACTATGTTCTTTATCCCCTGTATTTCCTGTAAGTTGGTATATCAGTTCTGAGACTTGAGTAGGTATTTAGAGTCAGGAGTAGGTCTTTTCACAAGAGTACTTTATTGATAGTGCTATGTCCTGAATTCATAGATTGAAATTTTGTGAACAGCCCAGGTGAAATGAATTGGGGCTACAAATTCCCATAAGGGCCATGTATTAGTCCATTCTTACGCTGCTGATAAAGACATACCTGAGACTGAGCAATTTACAAAAGAAAGAGGTTTAATTGGACTTACAGTTCCATGTGCCTGGGGAAGCCTCACAATCATGGTGGAAGGCAAGGAGGAGCAAGTCACATCTCACAAGGGTGGAGGCAGGCAAAACATGAGAGAACGCCTCTTTTTAAAACCATCAGATCTTGTGAGACTTATTCACTATTATGAGAACAGCCTGGGAAAGACTTGCCCCCATGATTACCTCCTGCTAGGTCCCTCCCACAACACGTGGGAATTCAAGATGAGATTTGGGTGGGAACACAGCCAAACCATATCAGGCCACAGAAGGTGATACTGTGTGGCCAGTTTATCCCTGCCCTCCCCATCACCCACCCCAGCTCAGCATCAATGCCATTTTCTCTGCAATCGTCTGTGGATGAAGAGAAGAAAGTGGATAAACCTCATTTGCCCTTACTCTAGGCCCTTTGGGGACCCAGCTTACTGTGGAGAGTCTCCTATTAGACTCCTCACCTTGTGCAGGCCTTGGCCTTTGACATCAGACCTTCTCGCTGTGCTAAGTTATCAAAAGCAAAGTTAAAGTGGGCTTGGAACAGCTAATGTCCTCAGGGCAAAAGCAGTTTTTGTGCTCTGCTTTCCTCCCTGGATAATTGGAGTTTTTTTTTTAAGGTTTTTTGCCAGGATTTGGATATAATAGATATGATATTGGAATTACTGTTAATTTTTTAGCTGTTATAATGGTATTATGCTTGTGTCGGAGAACATTCTAATTCTCGGGAGCTAAAGTATTTAGGTGTCAGACATCATGATGCCAAGAATTTACCTTCAAATGATTTAACTGTTGTTGAATATAGACAGAGGTTGTACAGCTGTTCACTGCACTGTGCTTTAACTTTTCTGTGTTTGAAATTTTTTATAATATAAGCCAGAAAAATGATGTTAGCATGATAATTCCTTCTGTCTTGACAGTGCTAATGTCTCTAAGAAAACTGTTGTTGTTTCTATGTTTCAGCCAACATTTTCCTGTTTTTCAACAGAAGGATTGACCCAAATAGCCTAAATAACCAGCCATATTACTTAAAGTAGAGCTTACCTTTTACTTTTTGTTATTT